GTGTGTGTGTATGTGTGTTTCTCTGCTAATAGAATTCAGGGATTGAGAAGGCCTTCCTGTTTGACGTTGTCAGTAAGATTTACATCGCCACCGACAGTTCACCAGTGGACATGCAGTCCTATGAACTCTGCTGTGACATGATCGATGTGGTCATCGACGTCTCCTGTATTTATGGGTGAGTCTTTTATATTATTTCTGCGTGGAGTACCTGCACAATACATACAAACACAATATATCTATATCCATCTATCAATCTCTCTATTGACTCAAATTTCAACCACATCCCTCTTTTGCTCATGAGAGCGCTTTAAAAATGTGACGGACCATATACCTTATTTTTTATAAATGGTCACAATGGTGAAAAGCATTTTGAATTACTGTATACTGTAAATGACTCCAGTTGGATCCAATTTTAATCCAATGTTAATTCCATTTTAATAATACATATAACATAATGTAATATACATAAACAATGTAGTTTTTCCCTTAAGAAGAGGAATTGACATGTTCCTAACATTATTTTTAGTGTGCTTGTTGTGTGTTTTGATCATATAGATTAAAGGAGGATGGCACTGGCAGTGCATATGATAAGGAGTCTATGGCCATCATCAAACTCAACAACACCACAGTGCTCTACCTGAAAGAGGTCACCAAGTTCCTCGCCCTGGTCTGCATCCTGAGAGAAGAGAGCTTTGAGCGCAAAGGTACACCACAGCAATCATTATGTCGGTGTCTTTCATACTAGTGGTTTTCGGTTATTTTTAATTCTCCTATTTGTGCCACAGGATTAATAGACTACAATTTCCACTGTTTCCGGAAAGCCATTCATGAGGTGTTCGAGGTGGGCATTTCCACCTCAAGGACAAGCACTCAGCCAGCTGGCACCCCTCTCATGAAGACTGTTGCCTTAAACGGAACCCCCAGGAGCACTGTGTAGAAAGATAGCGATAAAGACAATGATGAAAAGTGTGGAGACGAAGGACAATGTAACAAAAGAGAGCGACTACAGGATGGGTCGCATTCTTTATGCTGACCATCATTACTGCTCCCAAACGCTTTACAAGCAAAAGAGTTTGAAAGTCATTAAAATAAACTTGCTGCAGTGGGTGGGGCAGAAATATAACATGGGCAAGCTTGCAAAGCTACGGATGGATGGAAGGAAAAAGGCACAAAAGAAGGTGGAACACCTTTTTTTGTGACTAAAAGGCATTAACAAACTGTTCCTCAAAAAAACAAGTAACAATGTGCAAGTCACTGAGGAATAAAAACAAAAGCACAGCAAGAAACCTCTCACCCTGTCAGGCCAAACCGCCTGACAACTTGGATGAATGCTGTATGATACTCTGCTGGTCACTTAACACAGTAGCCAAGTTTAAACGCATAAACCGGTTTACTCCTCAACACGTGAATGTGGCAGACTTCTGTGAAAATTTGTGGTGCACAAAATTTGAGTGTACACTTCTGAAGCCTTACGTAGAGGAGGCCTGTCTGATGCAAGCCCTTAGTGCACACATGCATACTCGGTCACCTAAACAGCCCATGTATTGTGTATGAAAGGTTAGTAAAGGGATTGAAATGTGGTTTTGAATTTGTCTTGAGTGTGTGTGTGTGTGTGCACATGCATGTATGCAGTGGAGAGGGATATGCACCAGTTTGATGGCCCAGAGATGTTGTGAAGTCACACATGGGAGAGCGTTTGCGACTCTGAAGACTGAGAAAGAGCTGTACCGTTCCATTTGACCTCTGGAACACTGTGATTGCACTTACCTCGGAGGATGTCAGGGATCATAACTAGCAAAATTCAAACTGCTATGCTGTACTGTTGCCGTCCAGTTACGTTACGGCATCCTTGGCATTTAGCTCATGCAATCTGAGGACATTGTAGGATGAACTTAAATTACTTACATTCCGGTTCTGAGGTGCCAATGCAGTTTTGCTCCGATTTAAAACTTTGCTTTCACTCTTCCAATCAGCATGTTGTTTGTGATTCGGAGAAAAATCTGCTATAAAATAAAGAAATTAAGGATAACTGAAGTGACAGGACATTTGAATCAGTTAAATCCATTCCAAGCATGTCTGTAGAGATGCTTCCTATTGTCTTGCAATCAGCTCCATCTTTTCTAATTTCATTTAATGATAACTAAATGAAATATGAAAAACAGAAACTGATCTTCAAGCTTGCTTGTGATTTCTTGTTTCTCAGACTACATATAGGACACAAATTATGCTTGTCTTGCGTTTAGCCAAAGGTGTTATCATTCACAAGAAATAAAACATGTACACACACCGGAAAGAGTATTAATGTGCTGTCATTGATTTGGTCCCACATTTAATTTAGAAATACTTAGGTATTGTAATTATTATAGATTATTAACTGATTATGCTTAATTGGGACCTGGCACTTAATTGGGACCACACTTGCTGAAGCGAGAAAAAAAGTCATATGTGCACAAATCATCAAAGAACAGTTCGTTCAAAAACACAATAGGTTTCCTGTTGGGCCAGAAAAGCGAAGTATGGCATCAGCGATTATAGTTTTGATTCCTAGAAAATTCACAAGCTGGTAAAATGTATTCCTTTACTGAAATGTATGCCTATCTAGTAAATGCATACATTAGTTGTATTTAATCACTCATATGTCATTCCGAACAGGTTTTTGTTTTGTTGAGAATATCGAGCTTCATAATGACAAAAAACACTACAGAAGGATCATAAAAGTAGTCCAGACTCTTCTTAAATATTCCGAGTCATATAAAAATGTTGTGCGTCAAACAGACTGAAATTTAAGTCCTTAATATCCACAGAAAAGTCTTGACATTGGAGGCGTCATTCTGTTCGAATCAGAAACCAATCGTTCTTTTTAGTGTTGGGTCGTTCTTGAACGCTTCGTTCATTTTGAACGAATCTTTAATGTGACTCGGGAAGAACGA